GGTTCCTGCCGCGGGAGGGGTGAGCCCAGGGGGTGAAAGATGCCAAATCTGTTTGGGTCTCCGGGCGAAACCTGAACTGTTTGGATTTTTTTTTAATGTATACATTTCCCAATGTCTAGATAAGTGAAGTGATGACGCTTGTCGACTTAAGAAGATCTGCCACTCTGCCACTCGGATACCCGTAGCTGCCTTTCCATCTCTCTTTCCGCGTGTTTCTCTCTCTCTCTCTCTCTCTCTCTCTCTCTCTCTCTCTCTCTCTCTCTCTCTCTCTCTCTCTCTCTCACACACACACACACACACACCGCTCCTCCCCCCTCCCTACTAGTGTTCCACCGAGCCCGCCCCCTCGGAAGCCAGTGCCTCCACTTCTTGCTCTAGCCACTACCTGTCATCTCGGACTGCACCCTTCCTTGCTACGTGGCACTTTCCACGAACAGCTTGCTTTTCCAACCAAGACTCCGCTTGCTTCAAATTTCTCTTTTCACGGTTGTCAGCAACACCTACTATACACCCACCTACCATGGAACCCACCCCCACAATCTCCCTAGCCCAGGATCCTCAGCACCAACTGCATCTGAACTCTGACTGTGATGCTCTTGGAAAGCACCAGTGTGGTCTCCTTTTGAGTATCACTTTCAAACCAGGAGCTTCCACCTGGAAGATGCACACGCATATAAACTCAAGAGATGCTGCAGCAGCAGAGCCCACCGTTGGTCTTGGTGGGGGTGGGGGTAAGGGCTTGTACTGTCCCTCAGGGTCTCCATAGAGCATTCACACTTCCTTTTGTTAAACATATATTTTTTTTTTATTTTGAGCGTGACACTTCTCCACTAGATAGCAAGGAAAAGTGATAACGATTACACATTACACAAAAGTACTGTACCATTGCCTTTATCTTGAAGGTTTCCAAAGCCTCTACAGTTAATAAGTTAAATAAAGGGCTTGAGTACATAAATATTTGTCTAGGAACCCTACCGTATCTACAACACAGTAAGAGCTACAGGAGGACAAACTTTTACCATACCACGCTGAGTGCAATTGCGTTATAACATTTCAAATATACAAAGCTCTGTTCTTTTTTTAATAACAATGGTATGTACAGAATCAATAATCACAGTTTGGTGACTTCAACAGTCCATATTCTAGCAGAGTATTTCCCTTTGGTTTGATATAAAAACCTTGGTTGGTGTATGATAAAGAAGAGAACAAGAACGAGACGCCCCTTTCCTTTAAGTGCACTGTTAGCTATTTTACAGATTCGCATTTGCTTCCCTTGCCCTGGCATCTAGCCGGGCCTGCGCTGAAATTAACTTAGAGCGCCAAAATGCTATTCAAAAGAAAGCTAAGTGGGATATCCGGAAGAAGAGAAGGTTGGGCTTTTAATTTTTTAAACTTCAATACTAGGCATCTTGGAGAGAAACCCTCTCCGTTTATTTCAGTAAGGTAAAAATGGGAGAGTGGACGTTCGAGTTGGAGCTACATTGGCAGTGGCAGGGGTAGGGGCAGGAGCAGAGGCAGGGGCAGGGACAGGGACAGGGGCAGGGGCAGGGACAGGGGCAGGGGCAGGGGCAGGTGGACAGCCAGCGGAAGAGGTGCCACGTCCTTTAGCGCCAGAAGCTGCCTTGTCAGCGTCCAGGCTGCTGCGAAGGCGGCTGTGCTCTGTCTGTGCCATCTTGGGAGTGTGCTGGTCCTCTGTTTCCATTTGGTCTTGAGTGATGCTGAGTGAGGTGACCTTTCGGGACGCGCCCAAGGGGTGCGAAAGTGGAGGGCAGCCTTTAGCACACCTCCTTGCCCGTGCTGGTGCCCGGCAGGATGTTGAGCTGCGTGAGCTGCGCGGCATGCTCCTTGGCCTTGAGCCTCAGAGCAGCTATGCTGGATGCGCGTCTGTCTGCAGCGGCAGTGGCCGGGTCGGCCAGCGCTCCCGAGGCCACTGCGCCCTCCACCGCGGGTGTGGGCTGTCTCAGGAGCGCAGCCGCGGTCGACGCGCTGGTCAGGGGGGCCATGGTGGAAAAGAGCCTGTGGGGAGAGCAAACAGCGCGGTCACGGCCTCATGAGCTGAGTGCAGCTTCCCGGGGCAGCGACTCCCGCCACCTCTCACCCGGGGCGAGGGTAGAGGAGCAAGGAGCAGCTGGGGGAATCCGGGCCCCTAGTGGAGCTCCAGATGGGACTAGGCAGAGCTTAAACTGCGGTAGGCTGGTGGTTTTGCCCGAGCCGAGAACCCCCCAGGAAAAGAAAGCTCAAAGGATCAGACATCCCTGGAGGACGAATTCAGAGGGAGGCCCCGCAGCCCAAATCAAGAGGCCTCAGTGCGTGGATTCCGGGCTTTCAGTTAAGAAAGTCTGTGTTCCAAGATCAGTTCCTGGAGTGATGCTGGTAGGAGAGCAAGTGGTGGAAGACCGGAGAGACAAAAGAAAAAAAAAAAATACCGAGAAGGAAAAGCTAATGCGGGAGGGGTGCAGAAAGAAGGCTAGAAACTGCCCTAGACCCACTCTGCAAACTCCCTGGGGCTCCAGAGTGCGAGCCTCCTTTTGCCCAGAAAAGTGCTGGCTTGCAGAACCACCCTCTGGCGCTCAGCTAAACTGCCAGCGCCGTCGGGGTTGCTGGGCGCCTGCCTGTTGATTTCCACTCCCCAGGCACCTTGGACCTGCCGGATGCCCCGCAGCCCCGTACCAAGACACACATTACCCACAGACTTCCTGGAACCCCAGATACCTTCCCCAGATAGCTTCCAAGCTTGGGAGCCCCTTACACCACTCAAGCCAATGCCTTAAACTGGAACCAGTGCCAGTGTCTGAGCCACCGCCTCCGGGTGGCACCGGGATTACTCTGCGCGCGGGGATTACTCTCAATCCTTCCTCAAACACCCTTGACCTGCAGCTGAGGCCGAGCGCCCCAGGCCCTCAACTCCACCAGTGCTGCAGGGAGTGTTTTTCCTACCACCTCCCCAAAGGCTCCTGCTCCAGACCCCCCAGGGGCCAATTCAGAATTTGCTCAATTAGAAATGAGCCCACCTGGGCTCTTGGAGCCACTGCTCCTCCTCCCCAACCCTCTCTTCACTCACCGTGCCAACCCCGCCAACCCCACCTCCCCCTCCTTCCAACCTCGAGGAACCTCCGGTGTTTCAGCAGGGGTTCGCCTGGTTTTACTAACAGACTTTTGTTGTCGGAGGCGGGGAAAGCAGGAAGGAGACACAGGACTTTACTTTTTTTCCAGAAGGAAATGATAATGGGTGACCTGGAGGGGGCGTAACAAGCCCTGGTTCCTTTAGGTAAACTGAGTCACCCCCACGTAACCGCACTTCAAGGCGGCAATCGCTAGGTATTTTCGTGGTTTGGGACATTAATTTTGTCTCAAGTCCTACTTTCAGTTTTCTCGAGGATAATTTTTTTGTTAAGTGGCTGCGCAGCTGGATGATTCTATTATTTCTTTGTTCCCCTAAAGAGAGATATTGAAGCTGCATTCAGTTTTATTTTCACTGCACTTTCCAACTTAATACACCCCTCGTTTGTTTCTTTGTCTGTGTGATTATACAGATTTTTTTATTTCATCAATGTTCATTTAAAGAAAGGGAGTTATATACGATGAGATGGCTCTTTTATTTCGTTGTCTTCTGCCGCTGTCGGGGTTGGGGTTTGCACATATTGGGGTACTGTTGGTATAAGGTCATATAAGTGAGAAGGAACACAAAGGGGGGCAGTTCTGTGCACTTGAAGGGCCTCCTGGCTCCTGGGCTCCTGTAGGGGACCCCAAGTGTGTCCCTCACACTGCCAGGCTCCGTGGCATGCAGAAGGACCTTTACAACACTAGAAAGGCCCCCTGGCTCTGTAGCCTATTCCTGTTCGCTCAGACCGCCCATAGAGAAGGGGTACCTCCAAACCATACTTTTGTACAGCTTTCACGAACACATCTGCTTGTCACTGCTGTTACTGTTAATTGCTTTCCCCTTTCCTACTTACTTCTAGCTCCTTCTCTTCAAGACCTACTTTTCTTTATAAGTCAAAGTTAAAGAGTATTTTGTTTGATTAAAGTCGCTGAGGTTGGGTCAAATTAAAAAAAAAAGATGTGTATCATCCCCTCCAGCCTCCTCTTTGACCTCAGCATCTGCTTGTGTAGGAAACAGATGGACAAACGGACAGACGGGCAGACAGAGCCTCATAAGGCTGCAAGTTACCTGCCAAAGGCTGGGCTGATGAAGGCCGGGTGCCTGAACACCGCCGCTCCTAGGAAAGTGCTCAGGCCCAGCGGCGCCCCGCTGGGCGGCAGACTAGCTGAGCCTGGAGGCGGTGGTAGGCTCGGAAAGGCGGCTGCTGCGGCAGCAGCAGCAGCGGTCCAGGCCGAGTCAAGCGCAGGGTGGTGCGGAGGAAAAGGGCTGGCGTCCAGGTAGGGGCTGAGTGGATGGGTGGCCGAGAGAGGCCCGGGAAAGGGCAGCCCCGGGGGATGGGTCTGCGCGCCAGCCTTCTCTCTCTTGCGCCACTTGGCCCGACGGTTCTGGAACCACACCTGCAAAATGGAGAGAGGCCTGGTTGGCTTAGCTCTGGCTCACTCCTTCCCTGGACACCCTGGGCCTTCTCCTTCTCCTTTCATTGTCTCTGCACCCACCTTGGCCTTCTGTAATCTCTGGGTGAAAAGGGGTCCAGACTTTAATCCAGCAGAAACCAATGGACAAGCAAGCCCTTAAAAGTGGTGTCTATCTACCCTAGGCTCCCAAGATTCAGGAAAGTTAAAAAATGGGGACACCTAGGTTGCCCGATCCGGGCTGACTCTTCTTTGCAGAAAGACTTTATTTAGGTCACTTAAACCTCTCTGAACCTCAGTTTTCTAATCTGTAAAATGGGGACAATAACATTTTTCTCATAAGACTCTAATGAAAATGCATACAAGGCAGTAAATGAAAACACAGAGTGGTGACTATTGGGTATAGGCAGGCATCAAGCCATGAACCACACATCTGTTCTGCATATTCAAGATTTTCACATATTTCAGGTTTACCCAAGAGCACAGGCAATGTCTGCTCTCTATTGAAAAGCAAAGCAGGGAGCTCATTTATCTATTCTTTGCACTTCCTGACCAATAAGTGCACTGTATCGGGGTCTGGGATTTGGGTGGGCTTGGGAGAGAGTAGAGAACTGCTTCCAGTAAGTGGGAAACAGGTGTACATTTTAGAGGCCTAGCTGTTCATAAATGAAAGGGAGGTCCAAAACAAGCTCTCTTCGGGGGCTCTGTATGAGACATCACTGACTACTGGGAGAAAATGCAGGACCACCTGAGTACAGGAAATCAGAGGGCAGGGCTTGCTCCATCTTCAGCACACAGGGCCTTCATTGATTTTTTTTCTGGGGGAATGTGATTTCACTTGGTTCTTTAAATAAGATAGTTCCAGGCTTAGAGGAGGTTTCCAGCCTGAGGTATTTTCCTAATTGTTAATAAGAAGCACTTTGAACAGAGACCTTTACCTAAAACATGGCAGCCACCATCATCTAAAAATATGCCCCAAAGCATGAAATCATTTTTATGTGACCTGCTCATCACTCCCACAGCTCAGAAGCTATGTTCCTTCTCCTCAGAAGGCATTAATATTTTTAGAGCTGAGTTTGTGACTGCATATGAGTCTAAAAATTAAGAATGAACTCTAGGGCTATACAGAATTGTATTAAAATATAATGTGAATTGTCACAGAGGAACATCTTTTTTAAAAGTTAAAGACATTCGTCGGATCTTTCAAATTTCCAGCTTGGCTGGGGATGAGTTACAGTAGCAGCTAAGCTTGGGTGGACTTGTAGACAGTCATCCAGGACAAGAATAAAATCAAGAATCCAAACTGGCTGATACTTAAAGTCCTGGGAGAAGGGGGGCATAACATACAGCAGCCTTCAAATAATCGATGTGGGCATTATAGAAACCTCTAGATTGGAGACCCACTGGCTTGACAAAGTTAGACTGTAGTTCGATTAGGCTGGGCTGGTGGGCAGCTTTCTCACATCCAACCCGTCTAGACAAGAATATCCACCATTCCTTGATTGTAGGGAAAGGAATAAAGGAAGGGAAGTGGGGGCAGTGGAGGCAGAGGCGCCTTAAATAACATGGAATCCTTTCTAAAGCGAGATCTGCTGTCCCTTGGGCTCTCTGGCTCAACTGCAATTATCAAGATGTCCCCTGCAATTCCTCATTATTGAATTAATACCTCTGAGGCCCCCAAAGGTAAACGAAAGGACTCTGATAATTCATATTCACTTAATTACATCTTCTCCAGTGAATAGTGGGGAAAGGAGAAGGGGAGGGGCATTCTCTTTCTTTTAAAAAGTTATTTAACTTTCCCACGACTTGTTCCCCTGAGCTGAAAATGTGGAGTTGCTGTCACATCTCTGTTTGACAATGGAGAAATGTGTCAACAGAAAGGAGGGGACAAGCCTCATCATTAGCCCTCTAATGCAAGAAGCTGTTGTGTATTAAATGAGCCATATGGAATTTATTGTGCTTTATCAGCGCTTGATTTTGACTGTAAAGTGATTCACTCAGCTCCTAACCCGGGGACATCTGTTTTCTGTTGGCCATCGGGGCTGCCCAGTGTTGATCGTCTCTTTGGTTATGAGGCCTGGGTTCGGAAATGCACTCTGGTATGGGGCTGCAAACACCTTTAATAGCATTGCACTCACTCCCTATTAGATCAATGTGGGCTCATTGCTATAAAAAATGGGAAATCAAATAGCATTAGCCAGCTCCTTGTGCAGGGCGGAGGGGAAATCAAACAGCATTTTGCCTTCAAATGGCCCTGTTTGTTCTAGCACTAAGTGGGCTTTTATGAAGCCCGATTGGAGACTTAATCGCAGCCAAATACCTGCTTGGAGCTGAGCGGATTTGTCTAACAACCAAATCCATGCTCCATCCCATTATTTCAATCAGGAGAAGTCGGCTGGTGGATTGTTTTCTATAGGGGCCTTGGGTACCAGGTTTGGGTGGGGGGCTGCTGAACTGTGGTCTCGGGGACTAGAAAACCCCTGCTTTGATCCTGGACTACTTTAAGCTCCCAAACCCAGAAATCTCCTACTCCTTCCCAGTTTGCAGTTTGCTTTTGAAATGTCTTTTTGTGTATGAGTGCTTGGATCTACTTTTCAGATTAGGATCCTCTTCTTTTTATTGGAAGGGCAAACCCCCAACCCCACCCAGCCCCCTTCTTCCCTTCTTGGAGCTCACCTGGACTCGGGCCTCAGTCAGGTCCAGCCTCATTGCCAGCTCCTCCCTATAAGAAAGCAACATTCAGATAGGTCACAGTAGGCCCCAGCAGTCCCCTCTCAGTCACCTTCCCCTTCATGACAGCCTCTTCCAGTCCACACCCCAAGTACATGGGTTTGACCTCTAGGGTGCCTACTATTTGGTTGAAAACAGAAAAAAGCAGCATAGTGACAGATACAAAATATTATTCATTATATTCTATCATATAGTGTGACGGCATGGATTCTTGAGTCCATAACTCTTCAAACTTAGACAAATGAGTTTTCTCTCAATCTCTCTTAGGCTAGAGTAGGATGGGACACACACACACACACACACACACACACACACACACACACACAGTGCTCATGCCCTGTTTAATCCAAATTCTAAATGGGAGAAGAGCTCAGCAATCCGCCACAATTTTTGTTTTCTGCCCTCTTGGCTTTGTTTTGCCTTCTTTTAAAAAAAAAAATCCCCCTTCTTTTCTTGCCCCTCTTTCCAGCTCAGTCTTTCCTCCGTCTCCCCTCCCCCCTTCTACCCTCCCTTACCCTCTTAGGTCACACTCCCCATTACCCTCTGGAGATATGTTAAGCTTGTTAAGAGTTCAGTGGGGTAATTTTTCGATTAAACAAAATTCTGCGCACCTCCTGACTCCAGTGCCCACTACAAACCCTGCCCATCTCAGGGGAAGTCAATTTAGCTGAAACCCTACCCCGTTATTGCAGTTATTACTGCGACAATTAAGGCAAATAGGAAACCATTAAGATGCTGTAAAACGGCTTACGACCTGTTTACCGAAAATATGAGCGCGCCGAGAATAATTGGCTCTCTGCTCCCCAATATGAAAGAGCGGGGCTGCCTAAGCCTGGGCCTGGGTCTGCGCTGCCCGCAGGATCGGGTCAGCCACTGAAACTTCCTCAGCACCAGAAAAAAATCACTTCACTAAACACCTTTCCTTGGACACTCGTTCCACCCACCCCCTCCCCTTCTCAGAGAGCACCAGCAAATCTAAAACTCCACTCTAGCCTGGCTAGGCTATATAGCCCAGAAGCTAGGCCCGCTGAGCTGGAAAGAGATGGGGGTGGGGCGATGAAGAGGAATTGCCCAGGTCTTGTACTTTTGTCTCCCCGACCAGCTAAAAGGGGCGAACTTGGATGCTAAGCGACACGGTCTCTCTTTTTTCCTTTTTAAGTAAAAAGAAAATCAAATAAAAGCCAGTGGTTCAGTTAGCTATTTGATAGTACACGCTGGCTGACTTTGAGTTTTATTTCAGTCTTCAAAAACAAGGGAACAAGTGACAGACACTGAGGAGGACCAAGTTTCAGTGCCCTTGCCTATATTAAATTTACTTTTTGGTTGCTTCTGGCCACAAGAGTTTGGCAACTGCCAGACCAACTATGTTTTGGAGTTGGCTCAGGCCTTGAGTCTGAGCTGAGATTTCTCTGGTTCAAAAGGACAGGCAGCTTTCCCCGTCGAAAATACACATTGAAAAGCTGCACACGTCTCCTGCGAAGGAGCTGCCGGGTTAGGGGAGCGCGAGCCAGGCACTCACAGGTCTCATTCTCAATTCTCACTGGGGGACCGGCCTCTTTCTTCTCACATTTGCCCCCAGTCCTGGCTCCTAGTCCGAGCCAAAATCTTGGACTTGGGGGTAGGAAAGGCTACAAGCCTGCTGGTACCCCCAGGTAGGTTGAATAAGCAGGAGCTCCGAAGCTCAGCGAGACCACTGGTCCAAGTTTCTCAGATTGGAAAGTGTAGTGGACATTAGTCCATGAGACACAGTCTTGTCCCCACCCCCACCTCAACTGCTTGGTTCAGTGGCTGTCCCGTTTCCAGAAATCCTGGTCTACCCCATCAACCCGTTTACAGTAAAGTCATGCTAGGTGTAGTGGAGACAGGGGAAGAATCTGGCTGGTGCCCTTCTGGTGTACAAACACCAAACACTGCTTAGTTCAACTTCTTTGGTTGTTTCAGGAGTCCCCAAGTGACACAAACTCCGATCTTTTTAAAGGTCTTCCTTCTCCGAACGCAAGGGCTCCAGTTTTCCTGAGAACAATGTAACTGATACCCACGACTGCTGGGCCACCGGGCGAGGGTTGAAGGCCCACACAGTACATGGGTCAAAAATAGCGCCTGCTCTCCTATCAAAAGGGGGGACTTTGGGCAGTGCTTCTTGTACCTAGCCAGGATCTGGCTCCAGCCTCAGTACTGGGAGCAGTCGTGTGCCTGCCCAACGTGGCTGCTTTGGGTGCTCTTTGGAGAGGCTGTTTGACTCTAAAACTTGTCATTTGGAAACAAAGCCAAAGGGCTTTGGGACAGAAAGAAACCACACCAACTGAAACTTAAAGCCCGTGTGGTGTGGTGTGGTGTGGTGTGTGTGTGTGTGTGTGTTGTGTGTGTGTGTGTGTGTCTGTGTGTGTGTGTGTGTGTGTGTGTTTTGTGTTGGGGCAGTATTGGGGAGCCAAAGGATCACATTTGGCCAAGCATCACCCGGGTCTCTGGTTCTATTCCGCTCATGGGCCCTTCAGCTGGTGCTGTGGGCAGCGACCACCTGGGCAACATACCTG